TACAGACAGTTATTCCATTATACAGAAGGATTGCTTTTGTTATTCCCCCCCCACCACCCCAGTCAAAAGTGCCAAACTATACTGCTTACTCACGGTAATGACTCTTCACAAGGGTTTTTTTTTTATTTCCCCAACCACAATATTGATACACAATATATTCATTTCTTAGGAGGTATTCATGGCATACACTGTAACAGTCCATCTGTTACTAACACCCTGCTATGCATAATTTTTAGACTGCGTGGCTTAGGGGTAAAAATGGTTATTTATTTTGTTTGAACCATACCTATCATTTGCTTAGCACAGTGGGCATGCAGACAGGAGAATGGAACCTGGCTGATGTGCTCATAGGTGCTGCTGAAGTGGATGGTTGAATATCATCAACATTAGGTGCCATACCAGTATAAGCAACAACATAATCAAGCATACCTGTAGATTAGTGCAACTGTTAGACAAAGGCCTGGTCTTAAAATAAACAAACTTTATCAGAATGTCTCTGTGAGGACCCTGTTCACAGATGTCACAGATGACAGAAACGTTACCTGTCTCAGAATCCTAGAACGCCACCACCTCCCTGGGCACCCCGTCCCCACACCTGACTGCTCTTTCTGAGAAGAAATGTCTCCTCATTTCTAACCTGAACCTCCCCTGGCATACCTTGAGGCCACTCCCTCTGGTCCTGTCAGTAGTTACTTGTGAGAAGAGGCCAACCCCCAGCTCCCCACCCTTTCCTTTCAGGCACTTGCAGAGAGCAATGAGCTCTGCCCTGAGCCTTCTTTTCTCCAGACCAAACACCCCCAGCTCCCTCAGCTACTCCTCATAGGACTTGTGTCCCAGGCCCTTCACCAGCTTCATAGCCCTTCTCTGGACACGCTCCAGGGCCTCGGTGTCCTTCTTGTAGTGAGGGGCCCAAGACTGAACACAGCACTCAAGGTGTGGCCAAAATATACCATGAACATACCATATCCATTAACAGTGGCTCCCAAACATTTTCCACACCATGTTTTTGTTCATGGTTCCTCTTACTGTCTCACTTGGACATTCACAGGTACATTCCTGCAGTTGTTCAATGTATAGACAACAAGGGGACCCCATGAGGAACAAAGACTTCTGACACTTTTTTCTAATTAGTAAATAAAAGCTACAAACAAGAAGCTGCCAAAGGCTTCCCCACGCACACCCAGAAGGACCACATATCCATTTATGTCTCTGGATATTCTGGGAAGTGGTAGTGAGAAGAGACCTTATTACATACATGCAGTGACTTTCTCTGTGGTGGCATTTAAAAAAGGAATCAAAAGTTAATCCAATATGTGCATCAATATGGTACATTTTAGACACAAATATTGCTTGCCCTCCATGTTTTAACGAGTTCCAGGTGGAAGTTCTATAGCCTCAGTGATTCAGCAATATCTGGAGATAGCACAAACCCATCAAAGGTGCAGGAATTATCCCAATCCTTCCTTTATGTTGCCAGCAGAATATGCAGCTAGCAAATCCCAAAGCCTCCCTCCAGCATTTCTCTGTTGGATTCACATAACATGTCAAAGAAATGATTTTTCTCTTTGATTACTGCAGTAAAATAAAAAGCACTGAAAAAGCAACTACTCAAAAACTTACATCGCAGTTACATGACACATCCAGCTCTCTGCAAAAGGCATAATAACGAGGGAGTCAAAGCTGTACCTCCAGCCACAAGCAAACTCTTTCACTATAGCTTTTCATTATTACAATGCCATTTTGAGACCCTTGCAGTAGGAAAGTAAGAAAGGGCATGTCAGCCATCAGCTTCATAGACCAATACACTAAGAGACATCAACTCCAACTTTAATGCACTTGGACTCTGCCAAAGTTCTCTGTTGGTTGAGCTGCAGAGAACAGAGGAGAACATTTTTCTATCTCCTTCTGTCTAGAAGCATTATACAATATTTAAATCAGGAAATGGAGATGAGGCTTTTGAGGTCTAAGACTTGGTTATTTTCTTCTTCAGAAATTATAGGCAGCTTTTTTTTTTTTTTTTCTTAATTGTATTTAGGTACTTAAATCTTACTAAGGCAATTTGGAATTAAGCATCTAAATGCCTTTCAGAAGCTTACAGATTCTTTTCATGTTCAGGTGCTGCTACTTTTTTAAATTTCTAAGACAACAAGGAACATCTGTGTTAGTGGCTTTATTTTCAGCACTGCCAATTACGTGCTGTTCCAATTAGAGTCAATGAAAGGTGTGGGCTTTTACTTTCCCTGAAAAAGAGCATTATCAAGAGAAACAGGGCACTTTGTTCCAGCCTTCTCACTTGATTCAGCACTTCGCAGGTGCAGGGTGGTGAAGATGTGAACACACCTTTGGAAGAGCTGAGAATTAGGAAAGCAGGGAGAGTTCCTCTTGTACACCAAACCAGTGCTGCAGCTGTTTGATTACTGTGGTTGTACAGCAGAACTGTACAAGGGAAAGGTGGAACAAGAACATGCCAACCCTGAGACTTCCTTGACCTCCCAAAAGGTGCAGGGTCAGCTGTGCAGGACTGTAACTACAAAGAAAAGTCCTTAAAGGTCTCCCGATATCCTCTTCTTATATTTACATAATAGGTAACAATTTTGTTATTAGGGTGACATTTTCAATACCACAAGACATTCAAGGCCAAGACGCAGCAAGAGCTTCTTTACTGATGGAGCACTGGCACAGTTTGCCCATAGAGCTTGTGCAGGCTTCTTCCTGGAATATCTCCAAAAGCCACCTGGTCCTGGGCGTCCTGCTGTGGGTGTACCTGCTTGTCCTTTCCTCCTCCCAGCTATCGTTACTGCTACTTGGCTAGCCCCACACCAAGTTGTATGGCTACTTTTAATTTTTCTGCACTAAATAACAAGTATAAAATTCAAATTCACAAATAAAAAGGTAGGGAGGGGATTTAAATCATCTGGGAAATTCAGAGATTGGAAATGCCTATTTCTAGCACAGGGCGATGGGTCTTATTGAGTAAAAATACTGATGGGTGTTTTTGAGTAAAGAGCATTCACCTCTGCTTTCTCACCCGTATTGCCCATCAAATAGGCCTGCATCTACATTTACCCGGGGAAAGGTAGTGTTTTCTACTCATGTTTTTTTTTCAAAGAGCTTGTTACAAGTCAAAGATTAGCTAGTGTTGTAGCCCAGACATCTCCCTGCAAGTAATACAGTCAGTAGAGCATAAAACTATGTTTTACTGCTTGAGGTGCACTCAGGTACCGGGGAAACAGCACAAAAATACACCGCTTTTAACAAGACAGGGGAATAACTTGTTTTTCTCATTGGGCAGGGAGATTCACAGAATCACAGAATTTCTAGGTTGGAAGAGACCTCAAGATCATCGAGTCCAACCTCTGACCTAACACTAACAGTCCCCACTAAACCATATCCCTAAGCTCTACATCTAAACGTCTTTTGAAGACTTCCAGGGATGGTGACTCCACCACCTCCCTGGGCAGCCCGTTCCAGTGCCTAACAACCCTTTCAGTAAAGAAGTTCTTCCTAACATCTAACTAAAACTCCCCTGGCGTAACTTTAGCCCATTCCCCCTCGTCCTGTCACCAGGCACATGGGAGAACAGGCCAACCCCCACCTCACTACAGCCTCCTTTAATGTACTTATACAGAGCAATAAGGTCACCCCTGAGCCTCCTCTTCTCTAGGCTGAACAAGCCCAGCTCCTTCAGCCGCTCCTCATAGGACTTGCTCTCCAGGCCCCTCACCAGCTTCGTCGCCCTTCTTTGGACCCGCTCAAGCACCTCGATGTCCTTCTTGTAGCGAGGGGCCCAAAACTGAACACAGTACTCGAGGTGCGGCCTCACCAGAGCTGAGTACAGGGGGACGATCACCTCCCTAGCCCTGCTGGCCACACTGTTTCTGATACAAGCCAGGATGCCGTTGGCCTTCTTGGCCACCTGAGCACACTGCTGGCTCATATTCAGCCGACTGTCCACCATCACTCCCAGGTCCTTCTCTGCCTGGCAGCTCTCCAACCATTCCTCTCCCAGCCTGTAGTTCTGCTTGGGGTTATTGCGCCCCAGGTGCAGGACCCGGCACTTGGCCTTGTTGAACTTCATACAGTTGACCTCAGCCCATCGGTGCAGCCTATCCAGATCCTCCTGCAGAGCCTTCCTACCCTCGAGCAGATCGACACACGCACCTAGCTTGGTGTCATCTGCAAACTTACTGAGGGTGCACTCAATGCCATCATCCAGATCATTGATGAAGATGTTAAAGAGGACCGGCCCCAGCACCGAGCCCTGGGGGACGCCACTAGTGACTGGCCTCCAACTGGACTTGGCTCCATTTACCACAACTCTTTGGGCCCGGCTGTCCAGCCAGTTTCATTTACCTACATCCCCCGGATCCCAGGTATTCAATAGAATAGGTTCCTCAATAAGATCGTTCGTTTTATCAAAGCTCAATGGATTGAATTCTTTAGGAGATAGCCTGCATTCACATATATGATGGGTTACACTAGATTGCTAGTTTGGAGATTTATAATATATATATATATGTGTGTGTGTGTGTGTATATATATATATATATTAGTGAAATTTATGAAATATAACATGCCTATTTTGAATCAACAGTGAAGTTCCCAATGGGAACAGATCTGACTAGCGTTATACCCTGCAAAGTACCTCAAATTAGTTCAGTCACCAGTACTGCAAGCAGTTGGGATTTAACACAGAGCATTAGCAGAAGAGAGCATCTGATGAAACATCATTCAGAATAGGAAATAATTACAGTATTACCAATTCTTTATGGCTGTGGGATGCTTTCTAATTAATTATTCAGGCAAAAGGAAGAATAAAACCGCTGGTTCTCATTGCAGCTACAGAACAAAGTTACTTAATGAGCCACTGTAAAACACAAATAAGTTCAGCTGGCATTATGCAGATAAACAGAGAACTTTTTCAAGATAATAGGTTTTTTTTTGTTTTTTTTTGTTTTTTTTTTTAAAGGGACATACTTCAGAAGTTATAACAACATTACCTCACAGTCCAGCTGTTTGCATTGTACCTCCAGCTTCTTTGAAACGATGCCAAAATAAAGTAAATTTGAATATTATCTGCAGAGAAGTTCTCTACGGAATAATCATCAGAATGCTTTTCATTATAACACAATTATATCATCAGCTTCTAATGATCAGAATGCAGAGCAGCTGATTATTTTCATAATGCAATTACTTCATAACAAACATTTCAGAAAACTCAGCTGCCTGCAGTTCTCTCCAAATACCTCGTTTGTCTGATTAATCGTATGATGGGAACTCCCCTCTTTTGCCCCTTTCTAAACGCTCACCTGTTTTCACTGTGTTTCTGTGCTAACGTGGTCATTACAACAATAAACACTCGGGAGGAAGGGGGGAGACGGGTTGTTTATCTAAATATACAGACTGATGCTAATGGGCCGATTTTCAAAGCTGAGGCAAATGCAATTCTTCACAGATATTTGCCCTTGCCATTTTTAATGCGCGCAAACCCCAAGGTATGCATATAAATCAGGTTTTTGTGCATGGGTTTTATTAGCTTACAAGCACAGATAGCTGATGTGATGCTCAATTGTATACACACCCAAATGCTTGATATGTCTAGTGGGTATTTTTATATACAGAGATTTCCAAATAGCTGACTTTAACCCTCTGGTCCTTGCTGTCAATACAAATCTCTAAGGTTTTTGCTAATAACTGCTGTCTTTCATGTATATTTTAAAATAACTGTAATCCTAGTGGAACTAACCGCATAAGAAAATATAAAAGGCTGCAGTATTTGATTGTTCAGCAAGATCATTTATACATACATGCTGGAATAAAAATAATTAGCATTTCTAGAGCCTTTCAGTCAAGGATCTAAACCCCTATTTATAAAAATGAGCGATTCTTACATTTAATCCAACCCTTTTGTAAAAAAAAAAAAAACTACTGCCTTAAATAGAGAAGGCACATTTGGGGCATTAACCTGTTTCACTATTGAGGCAATTTCTTTTTAAAGGTGTTTTACTAAAGTTCACAAGTCTTAAATGAGAAGGCCAGGAATAGGATTGCATCTTTAGACTCCTCATCCCTCTCCCCGACAGATAAACATGTTACATCTAGGGATCAATAACATACTCAGAAGGTGAGAAGTTACGAAAGCAAAGATTTCAGGCTAGTCTACTGAAACACAGACATAATGAGCATGATATTTACTTGAAAGGGGCTCTGAATTAAATGTGCATATGAGAAACCGGCTGAGATTTTCCAAAAATATTTATTGTAACAATTATAACAGTAATAACAATGCTATTAGAGATAAGACCCCTATTGTAAATGCCTGTGTCATTTTGGGTGGATAATTTATTCATTTTAATTTCCTTATACTGAAAGTATGCAGATTATCAGCCTTACTCAAATGAATTTCTTCACAATTTGGAAGGGGGAGAAAGTAGTAAAATTGCAGCTACTTACGGTTAAAATCTAATTACAGTTAAAGAATCCCCTCTGCCTAACATTTTATTCCACATTGGTTCAAGTGATGTCTTCCACACCTGGATTTCTCTACAGCTATTAGCACTTCTGCATTTTAATTGTGTTAGGTAAGGTACGAATGGGAAGCCTAGGCTAGTTTTTTGAATAGAACCCTACATTGAATGCATTTTTACCATTTTCTATTTAAAGAAGAAAATAAAATGCCACTGATAAAAATTCCTGCCTGTACTTTATTGAAAGAAGTATGGATCTCACTTAGGAAAAATGTTTTGTTTTAAAACAGTTTTCCCCTTTCTCCCTGAACATTTTGAGAAATTACTTGTCAATATCTAGTACAGTTTTTCTGTGCATTCCACAAAAACCCCTTCAATATGTGCCACTTGGTTCTGCCCAGTGGGAGACATCACATCAGGAGCATAAAAACAAATCAACAGAGGGTTTTGTCTGCTGCTCTGACTCCGACCCAATGCGTTAAAGTAGTTGAACTGGCTCTTTACACACATTCAGTTATAGATTGAGAGAAGTTCTGTAAAAGGGTTTATCTGAAGCCAATGTAATAAGAAAAAAAATAGGAAAAACACTTGAGAATAAATGAAAGAAAAGCCAAACAGTTCAGAGGGAGCTTTTGTCTGGGCTGTAGTGTATGTATGTACTTTGTGGGTGGATTTTAATGCATTATGAAAGTGCAGGAAAGCATTTTAGGGAGCTCTAACTGAAGCTGGGGCTACTCATGACCTTAGCAGGGGAAAGTAGGAGCCTCAGTGCCTCCACTGCCTGGTTTCAGGCATGCATCAGGAGCTTTGCATATGCAAAACACATCCTGGTGAGTCAGTAGGACATGAGCATCTTCTTAAACCTGGAGCCAGGCTGCCTCTGACCGAGTAGTAGGCAAGCTGCTGCCTCTTCCCTCCATGTACTGGCAAGCAGATTTGGTAAATATAGAGATAACTTAACGGATTCTCCTTCTTGGGATTCTCCTTCTCAACTGCTCGTATTCCTAGCAGCTCTGTGAGGCTGTTAGTTAGTTGAACGCCTTCCCATTTTCTTCAGCACTTTAAATCAAGCCATTTTCTGTTAGTCATTTTTTACACTGTTTTTTTTTTTAAACACGTTGTCACCAAGGCTTTGGCTAAATTCTTAACAGAAAACCTGCGTTTGTGACAAAGAAAGACCTTAGATGATCATTTTGGAAACACTTGGATAAAAATGACCTATTTTTTTAATATCTAGCAGAGCAAATCTTTCATCACATTTAAAGGGATAAAAAAAGCCTTTTAGACCTTCTCAAAATAGCATAGGAAACATTTTGATATAATGTAGTAGTAACTTCACATTCTACTCAACTAGCCAAAACACAGTCATAGGAAGTATCGATATCCTTCAGTGAGTGCTGTATGTGGACACTGTTTAATGAAGCATGTCACTGCTTGTGTACCAGGGAAACAACACCCTGCACAGATCTTTCTCTCTTTTCACTCAACTGGACTTTTGCCACTGGTTTCAAAGACAGCATGTTAGCCCATAATTAGAGAAAGCCCAGCAAAACCAGAAAAATAGGTCATCATGTTCAAAACAACTACGATTTGATGCTTCTGGCCACTTATTTTCATATGCTGTGATTAATTTAAATTAATTTAATTTAGCTTGTTTTAATAATTGCATAACTTTTATCCGGATGCCCATGCCAGATGGCTCAACCAGCCTGAAAACAGGAAAGATGCTGTAATCATGGCAGTGTAATAACATTTATTTACTACAAGTCTGACTGTCTCTGGTGCTCTTGCTTTGTGTGCTTTGCAGGATATTTCTTCAATGAATATCCCTTTTATTCCAGAGCATTTTTTTTCTTTTGAAATTATTTGAGTACTTTTTATTTTAAATGCAGTTTTCCCTTTTATGTGCTTTGTGACAAGTCTGTCAGGTTGGCCATCTCCAGCTTCTGCCTCCACGCTGCTGCAAATCATCAGCATTACTTCAGGGTTAAACTGGTGTCAGGCTCTGTTCTGCCAACAGTAATCATTGCCTGTATGATTTCTATGTTTCAGGAATTCTCTCAACACTTGTGTTAGAAGATTAATACATCTGCAGGTTGTTAATTCCCCTGTACAAAACTGTGGGTATATTCTGCCTTTGAGTTCTTACACAAAATCTTTCATCTTAGAGGTGGAAAACAAAGAACTTGCTGCTTCTGCTTGAGTCTGCTCTGCTGTTACATTTCCTTTGGCTTGTTTCAGCTTATTTAATTTACGCTTGCATGTGGTAGGAAGCAAAAGTCATTTTAACCTTTGATGTAAGCTTAATGACTTTTAATGATCCTCTTCTCTCTTCTGCAAGTGTGAGTCCCATTTGCTTATGTGCATCCCAGAACACAGGCTAAAATTCCCCCCCACCCTTGATTTTTGAGAGACTGAACAAAGATGTAAGAAAGATGGAAATAACACTGGATTAGATTGTTTGGAGGGAAACATCTGAATGTTGGAGTGATTTTGGTGCATTCAGGTTAGTTTCTCTTCATCACTGCTTTGTTGCAATTACTCCGCTGCAGATCATCTGCCCTGGCAGTTTGCTAACCCACCTGGATGCTCTCAGCAGATGCCAGTCCTTCCTCTGCCTGAGAGCACATTTGTGCAAATTGCTGATGGTGCTGGTCTGCTTTATATCCATTCTTTGTAGGCAAGGTATACATACCCACGATTCCTGCTCTCAAACAGGTCACGAGCAAAATTCTTGACAGCTTCAGCTGGAACATGACCAGGAGCCCAGTACTCTGAGCAAAATGCTGACTCTATCAAGCCGTGTACAGACTATGGATTTTCCAGAAAAATCAAACACTGCTACTAGTTTGCTATACTTAGAAAAAAGAAGAATGATAAATACATATCATTGAGTATGCTGATGAATGTGTATGCAAAACTTTTCTTTAAATAAAACAAATGCATTGATATGCACTTATTGGATCATTTGATGCTGTCACACCCATCCATGTGCTAACAGGGATCCACATACTTTTGCCAAGCAAATGTCAACAGGCCCCAGAGAAATATTTTATTTATTTATTTATTTATACTGCTTCTAAATGTGTCACATTGTTAATCAAATAAGTTAAAATTTTTATGAAGCTCTTTAGGAAATGGGAATTGTTTTCATTGCAGCAGTGAACCAATACTCTCCTTAGGAGGAGTAAAGTCACTGATTTGAGAAGAGAATTCATTAGCATGGATCAAAACCTATTTTCACTGAAATCAGATCAGTGGGAAATTAGCTATGCATGATCAGGGCCCCACATTCTAATTGCAATTAATCAGTTATCCGGTGTATTTGGCTGCTCTTTTTCTGTTCACAAATGATTTGCAAATCACACTGATTTTCTTGCATACTTATTTCTTATTTGTAATTGTTCAATGACTAATTTAAGCAAACACATTTCATCTGAAGATGTGTTCATGCACTATTTAGTTAGATTTCAGAGTTGTTTTTTTTTTGTTTTTTTTTTTTTTTTGCTAGTTCTGAATGAGACATGCTAGTCTCCTTCCTTTGAATAGATGTCTGGAAATTTTAAAGTGGGGATGATTCAAAAAGAAATTATCATAATTCATTTGGCACACTCATCTTGTGTTTGTTGA